TATAGACTCCATTAAAACACATAATGATCAAGAATTAACTAACATGGAGGTTACAAATAATTCCTATGATCATCTAAATTCATAAGTTCAAGAACATGATTATCAATAATTTCAAGAATCATAACAAACTTATATAAAACTTGTAATTTTTGATAATTGCCATTGTAAATGGATTAGCATAAACATTACACCAACTGAAACAAGTTTTAAAACACCAAAACAGTTTAGGGTAATGTTTCTAGTCCATTTCCAGCAGCATAACTTGAAAATCTGAACACTGCAGCATGTATTCATCGAGTGCATGAACTGACTCGACGAGTTTCATGCATTTCTTCATGGACTCGTTGAGTCTCCCCTTGGACTCGGTGAGTTGGAGACTCGGCAAGTTCATGCGGGCAGTGAACAAAAAACTGCGTTTTTCAGCTATTTTGCATCAAGTATCAAACAAACAAGCCTAGGATCTGATACCACTGTTGGGTTTTGAGCATTCTAACACTCCTATGGTGTACATGCAACCCTAGAAACCTTGGATCTATGTTTGACTAAGATACATGCAAAATGATTTTCCAAGGTTCATAATCCTATATAGCATACATGGGGATCTTTTATTTTAATAGTTAGTAAGAATTACATACCTCTTTGTAGCTTGGATTCCTTTGAAACATTGTGAGCCTAGCACCTCAAGCGTGATGCCTCAAATGCTTCACACAACACCAAGTACACTTGGAATAAACTCTTAATAGAATAAGAACACTTAGTATTTCGGCTAGCCCTCTTATTGTTCACTCTAGTGGCTGAAAATGGTGAAGAATAGCTTCTTTATATAGTATGTTACAATTAGGGTTACACCATGTAAACCCTAATTGTCATGACCTTTCATTTCCATGACCCATGGGTTATGTAACCCCCATGGAGCATCTTATGGGTTTAACCCAACTTGATAATCCATGGAGCCTTGGCCCACTGTATAAGTTATGGATGATTGACACAATCAACCCATATATTTAATTAGTCTTCTTTTGATCACATAATTAATTCTAGATTAATTATTGATCAATACTAACTAAATATTATAATTCTTATTATTAATATATTAGAAATTATAATATATTAATAAACCATAAGTGTCTTATTTCTCTCATTTAGTCTATCCAAGTGCATGATGTCATGCAACCCAAATGGATCATGTCGGGTCTGGTCAAGTACATACCAAATATAGTTATGGACTTAGACACTATATCCAACATATATTGGATGCTTATTACCTACAATAGTTAAACACTGAGAAGGATAAGCGGTGACGCTTAGTGAGTTCAATAATAAATACAATATAAGGTTATGCATATATATACTTCAATATGGAAATAGCAAAGAGGAACATGGAAATACAAAGGCATATGTGAATCATGTGGCAAGCTTTCCATATTAATCAATTATTTGATTTAAAGATATACAATCAATGATACATAACAATTTCCATACTTGATATACATCAATAAAGCTTCGGCCCAAATTGCACAGATGACATACACTTTCTGATTAAAAGTTTTGGTAGATTTCAGGCTTTTAGCCCTATCTAACCTTCTGCCAACGCCATAGAGGTAGAAGTCATTCTCTTATGAGGCATGCTCTACACGGCCAAAGGCTACATACCAATACCACTGTGAATCTAACTAGTCACATGGCCATAGGTACAACTTTGCTATCATAAATAGCAGAAATAATAACAACAAAAAGCACATAGCACATATAACACATAAGATACAATTGTTCCTATATATTAAACTCAACGTGAATTAATTGGAGGTTAAAATAGTAATTTGGGCAGCACTTCGTTCTAATAAATAACTTTCTTTGATGAAAACCGAGAGGTTTATTGAAAACCGGGCCTTACGAGTGTTAATATTCAAACCGAAAAGATAAATTTCTCAGGGTCTTCGGGCACTTCGAAATTTTTTTCAGGTTTTGGGTATGATCCCGAGGCTTCGAGGGTAGTTGGAATGGTAAAAATATGAATTTAGGGGTGAAAGATGTGAATTTTCCAAACTTACCCGGGAGGTCTCGCACCTCCCTTTATATAGGAGAGGCTTCAAACCAAGGAGAGAAGGTAGGAGCATGTGGCTTGCAAGCAAGGGAGTCAGGTGGCGAGCATGCAAAGGGGTAGGTGGCGAGCATGCGAGACCGAGACAGGTGGAAGGCACGTATCAGATTCTTATTGGACTGAGCCTTCAGTGCGAAGAGGGAGCGACACGAGTCGACAGTTGGCCTCGGATGACTCACCAATTCGGACACACGACACGCTGCAAGCGAGGGTGACGAGGCCGAAGTCTGACCATGCGAAATTTCTCAGATTTTGGGTTTTTCTCGAATTTTGTGCCACGAACTTTAAAAATCCATAACTTTCGTATACGAGCTCCGTTTTTGACGTTCTTTATATACACGCGTAGATGAAATTATGCTCTACAGCTTTTGTTTAGACTCTGTCGGCTAATTTTGACTTTATTTTTAACATTATTATTTTTAACAGACCAAGTCAAGAAAATCCGTTAAAAATTTATAACTTCTTCATCCGATATCCGTTTTTGTCTGTCTTTTTTACCGTTGTACTACTAATGATGAGACCTTCAATTCTCATTTAGGTTGCGTCGGCTAAAAATCAGTTGATCTTTATTTCGAGTTGTTAGCTGTCTACTACTATACAGAAACTTAGAAAAATCATAACTTCGTCATACGAAGTCAGATTTGGACGTTCTTTTTATGAAAATTCTCGGCTTAACGAGTACTACGACTTTCATTTAGATCACTAAGGCTAAAAAGTAGTTTGTCAAAAAAATCACTTTTTACACTAAATAGCGTTTTCCGGTTTTGTCGCGGATCTTCGTTTGGTCATAATTTCTTCGTTATAACTCGGATTTCGATGAGGTTTTCGCCTAAATGTTTCCAACGAGATTCTTTACAACTTTAACTAATAAAATTTTACTTGTTTCAAATTTTATATTTTCATGAAATTTCAATATTTGACATTTGATTAGAAGCTCATAAGACTTCTAATATTTTCCGAGTTTATCTAAACATAGTTTTACTTCATTTCTACTAAAAAGTATCTGTTAGAAATCAATACTCAAATTTCATATAATATTTCATAATATTATTCATTACAAAACATGATAATTAAACGTGTATATTACATCAGTTGTAAGGAGTGATTTCGGTCATGATGGTTTTGGGCTTTGTGGTGTTGTACATGGTATATTAATATATATATATATATATATATATATATATATATATATATATATATATATATATATATATGTGTGTGTGTGTGTGTGTGTGTATTAAGCCGTATAGGGGTTAATAGTTCTTTTTTTCATTGGTTTGTTCACGGTTGCCTTGAGATCTTTTGTACCTGGTGTTTTATTGATAATAGAATTGTGTGCATTTGAAGCTATTTTGTGTTCTTGAATCATTGCATATTTAACATTCCACATTCTTTAAGCAATTAGGATTGATATTGCATAAGATCTACTGATTTGGGCCTTACAATTGGTATTAGAGCAAGGAGGGTATCAATTGATTCAAGGACTTTGGGTTTAAAACCTTCTTGTTTTTGAAGTATTGATTTAACCGAAGCCTTTGGTTAAATTGATAAATTTTTCTGTTGTTCGTGAAATTGCTCTTGGTGTTCTTCGTGTTCATTGGGACTCTGGATATTTTCTTCTGATTTTTTGGGATTAGATTTAGACTATCATCATTTAAATCACGAGATTTACGGGATATTGATATATTCTTAAAATAACTAATCAAGGTTTTTGGTGGTTAACTGATTAAGTTTTGGAGTTTACGGTCGACAAATTCTTGGAGTTTTCGGTCAACTCACCTGTTGACTTTCCTACTTAACAGTCGACAAATTCTTGGAGTTTTCGGTCAACTCATCTGTTGACTTTCCTAGTTTACGGTCAACGAAATCTACTATTTTCGGTCAACCTCATATGTTGACTTTCTAAGTTTTCGGTGTGATATTCCTTGACGTTTTGGACACATTTAATTTTAATCAATTAAAATGGAACCTCAACATAATGCCTTACATCAAGAACTAGATTCAATTATGGGAACCACTACAAGAATTCCACGTCTTTTATCAGCTGATGGGTTTCGAGAATGGAAGTGTAGGATTGAAAATTACATTAAGATGAAAGATTTTAAGATATGGAGAAGCATTCTTAAAGGTCCGCTTAAAATTACCACAACACTGGAAAATGGTAAAGTAATTGACAAACTTGTGGAGAATTACACTAATGAAGACTCTGAGAAGGTTGAGGAATAAGAAAAGGCGCTTGCAACTTTGACCATAGCATTGTCCCCTGACATTGCTCAAGGATTCAGGGAATATGGTTATGCAAAGGATCTTTGGGAAGCCTTGATAGAAGTTTACGAGGAAAACGATGATACGAAACAGAGAAGACATGATCTGCTCCGCCAAAGGTTCAATATGTTCAACCACGTCCTTGGAGAAACTCTTGAAGCCTAACTGCAGCGATTCATCACTCTCAATACTGAAATGAGTAGGAATCTCAGTATCCCGCTCTGAGATAAATAAGAAGCTGAAGAAAACATGGCATTAGCTTCTGGCCTTGTGAACTGTTATAATGCTTTCTTGGCAAGAGACTTACCTCCTCAAATCTCATTTGCAGATCTTGATCAAATTCATCCAGAATATGTGGAAGAGATGGATATCACCTGGCAAATTGCTATGGCTATGTTTAGGGTTAAGCAATTTTCTAAGAAGACAGGGAAGAACAATTGGAGTATGAATGGGGATGAAGAAGGATCAGTTCTTAATGTATCCCAGGTTCTTTCAAATGATCTTCAATGAAAAATATCCCCAAATTGAGAGGTCATCTGACACCTTAGATATGAAAGCCTTGGGTCCTAGCACCTTTGGACTCATGAAGCAATCAAGATAATCTACAAAACTCGTCTATTAAGGATTAAAAGAGATGGTGAAATTTGGAAAATTTGCAGAGACTGAAGATGTTCAAACTTCAAGTGCTCAAACTTCTGTGGTGGCCAAAGAACATGCGGTGCCATCAAGACCAAATCTTAGTTCTTCATTTGAAGTTTCTGAAGATGATGATGATGATGATGATGATGATGAGAGTGATAGTGATAACGATGGTATAGATTTCCGTATGTTTGTACCGTCAAAGGAGTCAGTCAATGAGGTTGTGATTTCTCCAGCTGAGACAAAAGAGGAAATCAACATTTTTAAGCAACAAAACAATCCTACGCCCAAACATATGGAAGCTCTTATTGACAAATTACAGTCAACTACAAGGAAGCCTCCCAAAGCAGTTTATATTACTTTTGGGTATCCATCTGGGAGTGATAAAGACAATTCAAAAGCCTCCCTGCTGCCACAAAAGTAAAAAATGTAAGGATCCAAGGCTGGGAGTGCTTTCTACTGAACCAGTACAAAAACCTTCTAAGATTGTTGAGCCCACTCAAGTTATTCATGATATTCAAAGTCCAATTTCAAATCCTTCTCAAGTTATTCAAAATGTTCAAAGTCTAATTATTGAACCATCTCGGGTTCATCAAGATGTTCAAAGCCAAATGGATAATGAGGAAACATTTTCTTCGGGAAGCTCTTCTGTCCCACCACCTCCATAGTACGATGTTGCATCTGTCAAACTAGCCAAGTTACTTGCTTATCAATACTTCATTTCTCAATCCAAAGGAAAAGGAATATCTATTGGCTCCAGGCAAGGAGGTGATGAAGACTCTCATCAAAATGTCTCTGAGCTCAAACAAGAGATTGTGTTTTTCAAGCAGGAGTCCATTGAGAAGGACATACTTATTGGTATTTTGGATGTGAGAGTTTCTAACCTTGAACAGGAGAACTCTGTTAAAGATGCAAAGATTTCAGAACTTCAAGCAAATCTTGGTGGTCTAACTGCTATATTTATTTGACCTGAAACAACATTTACATCAGAAGTTTGGTGATGATTTTCAATCTTTAAGCGCTAAAGGCGAAAGGATTTCCGCTTCTAGTTCTGATCCAGTCAATCCACCTTCTCAACCTACAAGTGAAAGGTGTAACATCCCAAAATCGAGACCAAAAATTTTTGTTTTAATTATATTGCTTATAAAGTTAGTTTGAGGAAAACATTACCGATGTCATATTAATTCATAAACCATAGTTACATGTCTCAAAAATCATAAATAATAATAATGTCGGTGTACAATCCCAGAAATCTCAAATTTGGAATCATGTGTGTGCGATGCGCTGCTACCCTGACGGCTCCTTCCCCTTCGACGAAGAGGTACCTAAAACCAAAACTGAAAACTGTAAGCACAAAGATTAGTGAGTTCCCCCATCATACCACATACCATACAACCATATATGTTTCCGTGCAATTCTGGGGTACCCAACCTACCCATGTCAAACCATTTTGGGGTGCTGACCTGCCTGTGTCAGGCGATTCAAGGGTGCCTGCCTACCCTCCGGTCTATCTCAACGGCCATGGGGACTGTTTCACCCCTACCACTATCACATAATAACATATCATAATCATGCTATCAGACATATATGGGGTGTTCGACCAACCCTTCGGTCCTAACGACCGAATTGGGGGACTATTCCCCTCCTACTACCACTATCACATATAACATATCATACTGGCACATAGAGCATATCAAGTAGTAGCAAACCTAGACAATTATCTTAAAGACAATCATCTAAAGACATTCCCTGCTGGTGGGCCGGCGTTGTGGCTGTAAACCCACCTCTATTGGAAGGTAACTCACCTCGATGTCGTGTAGTATCTGCACTGTCCTCGGTGTGTAATTCAACTCTTCTCGACTACTCGATCCCTACACAACATCCTTTCTACATTACCATTTCATACTCATAACCCTTATGAGGGTCAACTTAGGTCCAAGTCAAAGTCAAGGTCAAAAACTTGGTCAAAGTCAACGTCTGGTTAACTAGACTCGCCGAGTTGGTTCACTAACTCCTCCCTACTCGTCGAGTCTAGCAAGAGCTTGACGAGTTCGCCTTCAACAAAACATCGGGACCTTCTTCAACTGACACGTCGAGTTCACCTTCATCCGTATGGAGGTGCTTAGTTTATAACTCGCCGAGTTCTCCTTGAAATCGTCAAGTCTGTCTTCATACGGTTGGTACATTGCCTTGAAATCTCTGAGTCCGCTCATACCCTCGCCGGGTTCCATGATTTCTAGATCCCTAATGAGCCTAGAAGACTGAGGGTTCTTCTATCTTAGCATCTCGTCCATCAATGGAAGGATTTGATGGAAATACGACCCGACTCGTCGAGTCTCTCTTTGTCTAAAACTATACAGTCGATTTCAGTGGGTCTCAAAGCATCTAAACCATAGATTTGACCTCCTAGGGTCCATATTGTACGTAAAGTCACAAACTTGGTGTCCATGCATGGGGTATTTGGCTCAAAAAGCCAAGAAAATAGGTTTATAAGATGCATGGGCTTCCCATGGCCATAAAGTTGACACCTTTATGCCATAGGAACCCTTAATGGTTCCAGATTCGAAGTGTAATTCCATGATACACACCCAATCCCGAATATGGCCTTACAAAGCTTAGGAAAAGGGTAGAAATGAGCCCTAACTAGAGATCTAAGAGTTAGATGGTCAAGGTTTCAGCTTTATACCTCAAATGAGCTGGAAATGTGCCCAAACCTCTGGATCTTCTTGCTTCCTCTTGATCTCTCAAGCTTCCTTCTCTTCCTTAAACTTCAAACACACAAAAATGGCACCACAAAGCTCAAGAACACTCAATAAATGGCTAGGGTTTCGAGTTAGGGTCTTCTGGAAGTGAGAGGGACGATGGAGGCTGGTTTGGGAAGAGATAAGTTGTTTAAATAGGGTGCAAACCCTAAATATTAGGGTTTCATCTAGACAGTCCTACTCATCGAGTCAGTATCCCGAATCGTCGAGTGGGTCACTAAACCACCCGGTCAAAAATCGAGTCTACTCGATGATTTGGGCCTCCAACTCGCCAAGTCCCAGAGCAAAACATGAAATTACTTGAATTTAAATACGTACCAGGAACCGAGTGTTACAAAAGGGTTGTAAGACCGGCTCCAAATTCAAATCTTGACACTTTTTTATCTTTTGGTCCGTCTTCTGCTCAAGAACGAAGAGAGATGCAAGCCCGAATTGAGCAGCTGAAAGGGAAGATGCTGGTGATGAAGCATTCAGATCAGAATGCTCCATGTGATCACCCTGAAATGTTTTTTAGGGAGATTGAGAAGAAATTTACTGACAAGTATAGAGATCGCTCTGCATTTTGATGTGGGGATATGATGCTGACAAGAAAATGTGGATTGTGAAGCGAAAGAGCAATCAAATTGAGTATTATGACAAGCCAGTTGACTTTATGTCCTGGACAAAAGTTGATATTGATGAAGTTATTCACGCTCCTTTCAACAATCCAACCAATGACTCCGCGGCCTAGGATTTTAAGAGGTTTCTTGAGGATCAAGCTAAAAATAAATTTAAAGGCATGAAGACTGCTTCATTGCTCACGAAAAAGGCTAAGGATGTCATTGATCCTCACACTAATAAAACCATGGTGAATGTTATGTGGCCACCCACAAAGCAAGCTAAAAGGATTCAGCTTCCCAGATGTTTACCAGAAGGCACTTTAGACTCAATGCAATTTTAGGTTAATGATGAGGTAACCGCGCCGGCAGTGATCAAGCCAAAGAAGGGCCCGTATCGCATTGTTGATCCCAAAGATTTGTTGAAATTTGGAGAACGTGATATTCATACTTTGACACATTTTCAACTTGTTGTAGAAAATGAATTATTTGAAGCTGTTGGCAAAGCTTTCACTGGAATGGTTGCCACTATAATTGACAAGAAGCTGTGGGCCGAGGCATTTGATCAGTCTGATGTTCATCTTGTACACAAGTTGTAAAAGCAGCCAGCAATAAACCAATGAGGAGATTGTTGGGTCATATTTTAGTGGTTTATGTTAGGCTCATAATGTTTATTGTTTTTGGGCTTAAAATAGTATTATGTTAATGGGCTTTCTATGTTTTCGGTTGTAAGGACCGAAATCACTTTGGTGATTTCGGTCAAGATGGCTTTAGGCTTTTGTGGTGTTGTACATGATATATATATATATATATATATATATATATATATATATATATATATATATATATATATATATATATATATATATATATATATATATATATATATATATATATACAACACCACAAAAGCCTAAACCCATCTTGACCGAAATCACCAAAGTGATTTCGATCCTTACAACCGAAAACATAGAAAGCCCATTAACATAATACCATATATATATATATATATATATATATATATATATATATATATATATATATATATATATATATATGTATGTATGTGTGTATGTATGTATGTATTCAACCGTATAGGGGTTAATAGTTTTTTTTCATTAGTTGTTTGAGTTCTTATGTACCTGGTGGTTTATTGATAATAGAATTTTGTGCATTTGAAGCTATTTTGTGTTCTTGAATCATTGTTTATTTAACATTCCACATTCTTTAAGCAATTAGGATTGATATTGCATAAGATCCACTTATTTGCAACTTACATTTTGCTATGTGGCGCGTCACACACGCAACACTTTCCATCTTATAACAGTTTGTTTTTTGGAAGGTTTTAGGCGACAAAACCTCTGTGTGTGCTCTGCGCGGTGCAACACTTGACTTTTCTTTTCAAACCTCTTTAGATTTTATTTTTTTCCAAGTGATTTTTTTTTAGAAATTTGGTATAACTTGATTTTTTTAAAACTTTGATTTTTTTAAAACGTTGAATTACGGATTTGATACATTTCTTTTTATAGTTTCCACAAATTTTTTATAACTTGATTTTTCTTAAAAAATTGATTTTTTTTTAATTTTTTTTGCCGTTTCTTTTAACAATATTTTCAGTTTCATTGCATCTTTTTTAACATGTGTGATTCTTTTACGAATTTTGTAGACATTGTTTGCAATATTTTTTAATTTTTTTTTTATTATTTTCTTTTTCCTTTGTTATTTAAAATTAGTTTTTTCTAGAAAAAAACTAATAGCTTCTTTAACATCTTTTAAGATTTTTTTTTAGAAATTTTATATTTTTGTTTTTTACATGTTCTTTTTAGTATTCTTTCAATGCTTAAGATTAGAATTATTAAAATTTCAGTGTTGAGAACTATTTTTAGTTTGTAAAGCTGATTTATTTAAATTTCAATTTACTGCGAACATGCAGATGTTAAAAAACAAATAAACTTCTTATTAAAACCTGCAACTATTTGGTCTACCTCTTCTACTGTAGTGGGTTGCAGATGTAGTTTGCAGACTTCATAATGTAGCATTCATAATTACCAACCGTATGTACTTCCCAACCGTATATTGTCTTTATTTAATTATCGGTTATCAAAGTTTGTAAACGTGGCAACACAACACCACTTGTCACAATTTAATTATCGGTTATCAAAGTTTGTAGTCGGTGATTTTATTAAATATCTGGTGTTAAAATAGAGAATATAAATAGTGTCATAGTGGAATCTTTCAAAATCAACAAAAAACAACATCCAATACAAATGTGCTTTCTTCTGTGATCGTAATACCTTGAAGCATCAACACACACATTGCAATTGTTGCCATAAATCATCGGTATCACCGTTACATATCATTTATATACAACTCTCTCTCTCTCTCTCATTTGACTTGAGTGCGACATGCATGCTTTATTATTATGATTAACAAACTAGATAGAAGTTAGAATTTGCATATATTGATTGAATTGCTTATTAGGATTTTGCGTTATGATATTTTATATGATAAATTAGTTATAAATCTTGATTAAGAAGATCAAGATTTATCGATAATATAACAAATACTATAAGGCTGCTCAGAGTGGACTCGGGAAAGAGCCTGACGACCTCAGCGGGCACCATTCAGAGCCCTCGGCATGCCGATCTCGGCTCGACAATTCGGTGACCAAATGTCGAGTATCTTTTCTTCTTCCTCCCATCATCCTCCTTCCTTCTCACGGCTCGGCAAACCACCCCTTTCTTCTTCTTATGAGCTTCTCCCCCCCCCCCCCCCCATGCTGACGTGGAGTTCAGCTACAAAACCCCTGTGCAAAATCTGCATTGTGCAACATTTGACTTTTCTCTTCTAACATTTTTAGCTTTCATTTTTTCCAAGTGATTTTTTTTTTTTAGAATTTGGTATAACTTGAAGTTTTTTAAATTTTGTTTTTTTTTAAACGTTGATTAACGGATTGATACAATTTCTTTATACGGTTTCCGCGATTTTTCATAACTTGATTTCTTTTTAAAAAAAATGATTTTTAATATTTTTTTACCATTTCTTTTAATAGTATTTTTAGTTTCGGTTGCATCTTTTTTAACATGTATGATTTTTTTACGAATTTTGTAGACATTGTTTGCAATATTTTTAATTTTTTTATTATTATTTTCTTTTTACATTGTTCTTTAAAATTTGTTTTTTCTAGAAAAAAACTACTAGCTTCTTTTATATCTTTTTAGAAATCTTATTTTTTAGATATTTTTTTAGTATTTTTTTGATGCTTAAGACTAGTATTATTAAAATTTCGGTGTTAAGAACTATTTCCAGTTTATAAAATCAGTTTATTTAAATTTCAGTTTACTGCAGGAGCCTACAAATGTTAAAAAACAAAAAACTCTTTTAATTACAAACTGCAACTATTTGGTCCACCTCTACTATTGTAGAGGGTTGCAAAGGTAGTCTGCAGAATTCATAAATTTTCGTTTCGAAAAAACAAATAAACCTTACTGTTGGAAAAAAGACTCATAATGTTGCCATCGTAACTACCAACTGTACATTGTCTTTATTTAATTATCGGTCATCAAATTTTGTAAACGTGGCAACACAACACCACTTGTCACTATTTTAATATCGAATATCACCAACCAAAAATGCAATTAATGATATTTGGTCGGTGATTTATTAAATATCTAGTGTTAAAATAGAGAATATAAATAGTGTTGCAGTGCAATCTATCTAAATCAACAAAAAAAAAACACAACTTCCAATAGAAATGTTCTTTTTTCGTGATCGTAATATCGAGAGGCATCAACCCACACATTGTAATTGTTGCCATAAACCATTGAAATCACCGTTACGTATCATTTATATACAAAGCTCTCTCTCTCTCATTTGACTTGATTGCGGTATACATGTTCTATTATTTTGATTAAGAAACTAGATAGAAGTTAGAATTTGCATATATTGATTGTATTGCTTATTAGGATTGCCTTCATAATTACCAATTGTATATTGCCTTTATTTAATTATCGGTTATCAAAGTTTGTAAACGTGGCAACGCAACACCACTTGTCACTATTTTAATATCGAATATCACCAACCAAAAATGCAACTAATGATATTTGGTCGGTGATTTTATTAAATATTTGGTGTTAAAATAAAGAATATATATTTTGCTTGTTGTATGTTACTTGTGCTCTATTAATACGTTTGTAATCAAAGCAACTAATAAGAAAAGTTCATTCGAAACAAATGGACTAACAAATAATATTGATGATTATTCGTATTTTATTTTTATGTTTATTAATGTGACTAAAATGAAAAAGATTACATAAATTAAGCAACAATCAAGGAAAAGAGTAAGTGCCCTACTAGGCCCTAGCTAGTATCGCCCTCTTCACATGGTGGCCTACCCGACACCGCTCAGGCGCTCCTCTACACATAACCTTTTCCAAGGGCCACCAAAGAATCTTCTTTGTCCACCACCTCATAAAATATTATAACCGCCTAGAAATATTTTATATTTTTCACAAATATTAATTAATCTCTTTATTAAAAGACAAATACATAAGTATTTTATGATAAATTTATTAAAAGACAAATACGTAAATCTAGATTTCTAAGATGAAAAGAAAAGCTGATTTTTATTTTGGATCATAGAGATCTAATTTCTCAAGTAGAAAAGGGGAAAAAGAATAATAATAAGAAATAAAAGAGGGTCGGTATGCAAGGTTCTTGAACCGAATGCGACCAAAGAACGATCTCCCTTCTCTCCTTCAAACACCCTTTTCCTCTCTCTACAAATATGGCTGTCTACGTTCTGTTCTTACATCGTCACTTCTTTCCTCCGCCATCTTCACTTTTCTAACCCTAAGTTACCTTCTCTTTAATTAAGGGATCTCGCGTCTTCAATACTTCGGATACAAGATCACTCAAATTTTGCTCCTTTATTGACCCGCTTTCGTTCGTCAGATTTTGTTAATCCTATTAATATCGCTCTCCTTCAGGTAATCTCATTCAAATCTGCGGTTTCTTCATCTAATTCGAGTTAATTTTTGGTGGGTTCTTGAAAATATCTGTTTTGTATGCATGAGTTCTTTATATTTTTTTAACGAAAACAGAGTCGTTGTTTTGTCGGTTGTTTCTGTATTCTCTTCAATTACCCTGTTCAATGCTTGTATTTCTAGTATTTCTCGGTTCATTTCATTTTAGGGTTTCGTAAATCCATGGTTCTGGGTTTTGGGTTTTGATGTTTACATCAATCTTTCCAACATTCAATACACGATTCGCACATTGATCTATTTTAATTAATCGGTAATTGTTTTCTTCAGGTTGAATCCTTAGTCTGTTGAAGAACTTGTTTAATGGTGAGTGAAATCTTCGTAACGACGTTTTAACAAAATCCAATGCTGATTTGCTCTAACTTTGTTCTTTTATGTTTTGTTTTGGAAATTAGGGAGAAGCCCCGGCTTTCATTGTTGATGACATGCAAAAGAGTTTTTCAGACAGATTTGATCTGAAACTCAAAGGCTTCGAAACAGCCACTGTTATCGGAAGCAAAACAGTATGATATTAAATCAATTCTATTCCATTCCTCTTCTTAAAACCTTCTCCCATTATAAACACGATTTCAATTTCGTATCCAGTATGTCATTAATGGCACTGATGATCCGACATCAAGTGGAGTTCGTGTCTTCAACAACTCTACAGGCGAATGGTGAGTCTTCCTACTTTTTTATTCTGTTAGCGATGAAGATCTTGTTTTTCGTAAACCTAAAAGATCTTTTTCTTTTGTCACTTACAGGGTGATTCCAACTATTCTAGGGACAAAACCAAAGTCCCTAAAAGGACACTCATCTGTCGTTTTGAACGAAGACAGAATCTTGATCATCAAAACCAATTCCAAATCCAACGAATGCGTTTGGTTCCTCGAGGTGGGTGTTTCTTCAAATAATCAAATTCATCAAAAAGTATGTACATTTACTCCAAATTTTCACCCGTTATTTCATTTTCATTTCCATTTTAAAGGTGGACACACAATTCATTCGTGACCAAAAGATGAAATGTGAGACCGAAGTAGTTGCATGGAGCAAGGGCGTTATCGGTAATTCCGAGCAACCTGTGGTGATCAGTGGCCCATCTGGTGTAGGCAAGGGCACCTTAATTAACAAGCTCATGAAAGATTTTCCAACAATGTTTGGGTTTTCTGTTAGCCACACAACCCGTTTAGCAAGAGAAAAGGAGATAAACGGAGAGCATTATCATTTCACAAAACGAAGTGTTATGGAAGAAGAGATCAAATCCGGAAGATTTCTTGAATTTGCTGCAGTCCATGGCAATCTTTATGGAACTAGCATTGAATCTGTTGATGTTGTTGCTGATGCTGGAAAGGTCAGTACTCAGTACTCAGTAGTATTTCTGCAAACATTTCATCTTGAAAATAGGAATATAATAATTAGTGAATTTTTATATTTGTAGAGATGTATTCTTGATATTGATGTTCAAGGAGCAAGATCTGTGAGGGCGAGTTCTCTTGAAGCTGTTTTTATTTTTGTTCGCCCTCCTTCATTTGAGGAGCTTGAGAATCGTCTTCGTGCAAGGTTTTGAGATTTAATCTTTATCAACGTACTTTATTCTTGGTATTAGGGGTAAAAAAGTAAATTGACTAAAAGGTTTCTTGATTTGGTCAACAGAGGAACAGAAACCGAAGAACAAATCCAGAAAAGACTTAGAAATGCTAAGGCTGAGCTTGAACAAGGAAAATCTCCAGGTCTTTTTGATCATATCTTGGTGAATGATGATCTTGAAGCTTGCTATGAACGACTTAAGGTGAAAAGACATTTGAGCCCTTTATGATATTTGTGATATTGTTGTAGAATCTGACAAAGGTTATTTTGTAGGATCTTTTGGGTATTAGTGAAAGCATGAACGTTACCCCAAAAACAGGTAAAGTTATTGTGATTTTCAGTCGCTTTATGTAAAAAATTAAAATGGTTTTGATGAGGTGTTGTTACATTGTTGAATACAGCAAGTAAGGTGTTTGACTTGCCTGTGGACTTCACGTTGACCAAAGTCAGCGAAAAGATCATCATAAAGAATGCTGAACAGGAGTATGTGTATATTTATATTTTTGCAGGCAATTTGAAAATATTTTTATTGTAATAAGTTTTAATTTATTGTGAAGTATATTTGATGATTGCAGGATTGTGCTTGATTTATCTTTGATGAAAGGAGGGGCACCTGGTCGGACAAGAGGACTAGAGATGCATGTGAATTATGATTGATTCATTTATGGAAAGTGCCAAGTTTTAAATCGATCTTTTTGGTACCTTAAGTAGACATGAATTACCATTTTAGTTTCATGTTTGAAGGAAAAGACAAAAGAAAAAGTAACTTGTAGTTAGATTTCCCATTTTCTGGGGTTCCTTTTTTCTTGTTTTAAAGGTCATTTTGAATGAGGGATGGAGTAACTTTTGAGATTTCAATTTTGGGGGAATGGACAATGACAAATGAGATGAATTTTGGCCATTTATCTGATATACAGTTTCTGACTTATGGCATGTTGAAAAATGCTAAATATCATGAATGTGAACTGAACATGTCAAATTTAGGTCAGTTTGCATGAACATATATATTGTTATTGAAGATTCAACCTGTTTACAAAAAATATCATATATTTCCATGAACATCTAAACATTTTTTCGAAGATACCTTTTCCTGGATTTTGTAATGTTAGAAATGCAGTACGGAAAAAGCTTGGAAATTCTGAGAATTATGGTTTTCACTTTCAGATTAAAGTATTTGGGTGGTACTCCAAATTTTTAATCGGATAAGACTCATAATTGTGAGAAAACAGAAGAGATAATGTTTTGATGATATGAAGAAGAAGTGTACCAACTACAGATTCGGATATGATCATATAATAGAAAAAACTTCCTGTTTTAAAACTACCACATGACAGTTTTGTGTCTTAAAACTGTCTACAAACGGTCATAAACAACCTTAAATCTGGGTCTAGAATATGGATCACAAAACTGGGTACATTTATCAAAAATCCGGATTTATCCTAGCTAGGGGCTCTGCCCCTTGGACCCCGCTCCCAGGGGCGCTGCCACCAGACCCCCGTCAGTTTAGGGGCTTCGCCCCTAAATAGCAATATATACTTTCAACAATGGTAAAATTAAACAAATGTGCACTCCATACCATACCGATTTGTTCAATAATTATCAAAATAATATTGATCAACAAATTAACCCATTACACTTAAATAACATTAGTGATATAAAATCACCAACATGTAATTCATGTTTCACGCCACATCTTATGGAAAACCGTCATTTTAAAACTGTCATTTTGGTGATTATAACTTTTTATATATAGGTCCACAAAAAGGTGGTTTGTTTCTTATAACAATTTGGTTATGTAAATCAGATCATATGCTTAAGTTATTATATTGTAAGGTAGGAAGGAGCACTGCGGGAGAAGTTCCCGCACATTGGAACGCCGCATCGTCCTTGCGGGAAAGGAGGTGCGGTAAGAGAGTAGGGGATAGAGACCCGCATTATCTCTCCTGTTTGATTGATTTGACTTTTTTTTTTTTATAGTTTTTTAATATTTATTAGATTATATACCTACTAAAAAATTATTATATATATATATATATATATATATATATATATATATATATATATATATATATATATCAAAGTTCATGATTTTTAATTTCCTATAAAATGAGTATAACATTTGTATAAAATATATTTTTTAGAAAAAATAAAAAAGAGTGGGATCATTCTCATACACATCTTGGGTTTCGGTGAGGGAAAGAAAAGCAAAGTAAATATTGATGTGACAGACAAAAAGTGAGGGATCCTTCCTACACACCCTCGTGTTGAAACCATGATACTTTGACTTTTTGATAACCAATTATTGTTCTTCATCAAAAACAACAATTTTAAACCAAAGAAAATGTCAAGCACGACGGTTTCAATAATATACTTTCATAAGAACAAAATCTAAAAAAAAAAAAAGGCATCTTAAATCTTAAAAAAAGAAAGGCTCACTTTTGGTCTTCTATTTTCAACGCTTAACTTTTTCATTATTGTTGTGAAAATACAAAATAAACGATACTGTATTCTCATATTTTAGATTTTGCAATCTTTTCTAGATGATTGGATTTATCAGAGATGGGACCCAAAACATTTGGTTTGTTCTAACCAAAGGTCTTTACACCATGATCTTTTTAGCTGTTGGTGTGTTGGATCTTGTGTATTTAGGATACTGACTTGTCATTCTGTGATTGGTCAAAATTTTCAGTGGCAGTTGGTTCATTGCAACTGCCGGTGCCAGAAATTAGAATGGGGCAGCTTTCCACTTGCAAATATGTGGTGGGGAAACAAAGAAGTTAATGCTTTACCCACAACACTTCATAGAAATTCTAACAATGTCTTGTCATTGTCCAAGTGACTTTTTACAAGTTCTTGTAAAACTGTAAGTTCTTTGCTGGTGACTGTAATTAAATTGGGATTTTTTTAGAAGATTTAATCTTCATTAACATTGTTACATTGATATAAATAATATACACAACAACCCATTAATATCCGGCATGACCACCGATGGACAACTAACATAAAAGTTTGGTAACGGCTAGGAATAGCTCAATCTCGATTGGATTAAAAGGTGTCATTTTTTCTTATTATTATTATTTTTTTTTTTGGAAAGGGAACTTTCCTAACGAGGGTTTCCGGGCCAGCTTTCGCGTACCGACTAATCCCTCGCTGCAAACATAAAGCTTTGTCTCATGCCCTGAAGTCACTGCAGGCGAACCTCTATGGCCACAAAGGCTGAGTGGTGCCACGATTTTAGGCCTGACAATCGTGTCGTGTTCGGGTTGGCGTGTCGTGGGTTGGCGGGTCAAAATATGCCAACCCATTTAAATATACAGGTCACGAGTTGGCAAGTCATGGGTTGGCGGGTTTGGAACATAAACTCATATATGATCCACCAACCCATTTATTTATACAGGTTCACATATTGGTGAGTTCGTGGGCCAGATTTGGATTCATGGGTCCGAATTTTAGACATTTAAGTTTTAAACATCCAAATGAAAATTAAAAACATTCAAAGAAACATGTTACAGACATAGCCTTATAGGTTACAACTTACGACCTTAGACCATCTACCACGAGTCAAAATGTCAAAACAGTCAAATGGTCTATGAATCAATGGTATATATTATATAATACTTATTAAATATTAATACTTGATACATAAATAAATTTAAAAATAAAATAATTTTTTTATTGAGAATATAAACGGGTTGGCGGGTCAACCCGTTTATTTTTTGAGAAACCCATATATGACTCGTTTAATAAACGGGTTGGCGGGTTGGTGGGTTAGCGGGTTGGCGGGTTGAAAAACTCAACCCAAACCCATTTATTTCGTGTCGTGTCGTGGGTCGTGTCGCGTGTCGTGTCGAGAATTGTCAGCCCTACACGATTTGAACATGGGTCAATAGGTTATCCATCATATCTTCCACATGCCTTACCAAGTATTATTTTGACAAAACTTCAAAAATGGTCCCTATGGTTTTCGAAAATATCAATTTTAGTCCTTAAGTTCAAAAAACCTCACGGATCGTCCCTATGGTTTCAAAACTTTTAGCATTTGGTCCTTCCGGCTCACTATGTTAAATTTTGGCCATTAAGTAAATGGTATTTCTATCTTTTCACTACCACAGGAACTATTTATGAAGTTTTGCCTATATATATATATATATATATATATATATATATATATATATATATATATATATATATATATATATATATAATATTAAAAGGTCTCTCTCTCTCTCTCTCTCTCTCTCTTTCTCTCTCTTTCTCTGTGTGTGTGTGTGTGTGAGAGAGAGAGAGAAGGGTATATGCGCTTCACCCTTTTCTGAATCACTAACACTACCTGCCATTATTGATCAAAAAAATCGCCACAAAACCTCCTTTGGTTCGTTCGGTTGTCATAAGTAGTGGTTACTACCCATTGACCCATTGACCACTGCCCAGTACCTCAAGACATAAAGATCACCGCTCAATCGATCCTTCTCCGGGCAAACCAGATCTCGACTCTGACTGAAGGTATCATCCTTTAATTTGGTATCCGATAAAGTCGATCATGGAATAATTGGCAGCTTATCAAAGACGATCGTGGGTTACTAGACATGGCACCAATACCTTCTAATAATTTCACCCCAGTTAGTCTTCATCTTACGATTAATTTTCGGGTTGTTATGTCCGATTTATGTTTATGAATTTGCAATTCTTACTTTGATTGGCGATGGGATATTTAGGAATTACAAGTCAATATTATGTTTAGTCGGAATGTCTGTTATCTTCCATGCCTTATCTCAGGTTCAACTCCGTTGTTGTACTTGTTGCAAAGCCGGTGAGTTCCCCATCCATATCGGTTCAATCTCCGCATCTGAGGATTTAGGTTTGGAAAAATTGTATGTGGTTAGTGATGAGATGGAGAATACGGGAGAGGCTAAATAGGGAGGAAATGGATGGGAGGTGATAATCGGTGGTAGTTGTGGTGTTGCCGGAAAAATGGAGGTGTAAGGGTTCTTTTCCTTAAATTTGATTTGGGGTTGCTGACAGGAAGGATATCGGTGGATCTGTTGGCTTTGATCGGGGTAGGGTCAGAAAATCATTTACCTTGTCCAGTAGCATCCGATGGTGGTGGTGGTGGGAGCAAACGGCAACTTTCGTTTGCAATGGAGAGGTGGATTCAATGATTTATGAGGCGAGGGAGAAAGATAAAGTTGGGTGTATGAGAGAGATAGAGAGAGAGAGAGAGAGACCTTTAATATATATATATATATATATATATATATATATTATAAATAAGGCAAAACTTCATAAATAGTCCCTGTGGTAGTGAAAAGACAGAAATGCCCTTTACTTAACGGCCAAAATTTAACGGAGTGAGCCAGAAGGACCAAATGTTAAAAGTTTTGAAACCACAGGAACGATCCGTGAAGTTTTTTGAAATTAGGGACTAAACTTGATATTTTCGGAAACCACAGGGATCATTTTTGAAGTTTTGTCTATTATTTTATTTTGGGTAAATTACATCAACCGTCCACCGTGTAAGTGTCAGAAAGCACGTTCAATTTCTATTTTTAAAAATTAACTCGGACCGTTACACGTTTGACTAAGAGTTGCACGCTTCGTCTCTAACAAATGATTTTGTTGCAGTTTCAGTCCATATCGAATCTAAAATGACTATAATGCCATTTGTGTGTTTATTTTCCAACAAATTTAATGTTATCAATATTATTAGTAATTTAAAAAAGAAAAAAAAAAGCCCCCTACCCCACCTTCCCACCAACCTAATCGTCCCATTTAATGATATCTCTCTTCCTCTCATCTCTAACGTCTTCCAAGAAACCCAAAGCTACTCTCCTTAAACCATCACCAACAACTACTCCCTCCGGTGACAACTCCCTCAGGTGGCTATGCCCATCACCGTCCCTAACCTCCGATTAACCTTCTCTCTACATCCATCAACATCTTAAACCATTTCCAATATCGTCATCCCCACTTGAAAATGTTGATCGTTACTTGTAATCCATCATCGCCACCTCTTCACCTGAACCCTAGCACCTGAAAACCATCGTACCAGTGTATTGGAGAGAGCCAGAGGATCGTCATCTTTGCACCAATGTCTCATATCTACACCATCATCTTACAAATCGTCCCTCCTGGGGTTTCGAGACAGAGAAGAAGGAGAAGGAGGGGAACGACAACATCTAGTGGAAGAAGAACGACGTTTGAATAGATCAAATCAACTCTCCTTATTGAAACGATTTATGTTCAAACGAGTTTGGGTGAGAAACCAGCCGAAGTTGCGGGTTTCATGGCAGTGGTAGGATAAGGGGTTGAAGAGTTTGCATCCAACCACAATTTTCCTCATATCCTCTCACCCCCTTTATTCGTTTAACTAATTTGTAGATCAAGTGTATGGATTTGGGTATGATTTTAGGGTTTAATTCCACTTTTCTTTTTTATTTTGGAGATGAATGGTGGTTTTTGCCAGAGTTGGGTTGTGGCCGGAGGTGACAGGTGGCCGAAGGTGGCTGGTGGTCAGAAGT